CCAGGAACCTGGGGTCTGGATTCGAGTTTGGTTCTACTGCAAACAAGCTCAGTAGCCCTCATGGACCCAGTCACATTCCCTCTCCAGACCAGAATGTCTCTCGTGTTCCAGGCGCACAGAGTAAGATGTCCATGCCGGCCAGAGACAGAACATCCACATAAAGTACTCAGCACAGAGACCCCCTCGGACAAAGCTTCTCCCGAGCGACCATCCAAATATTCCTCCGGAGTCCCTCACAAACACTGTTCTAATACGATTTCTGAATTCCCCTCTCTTTAATGAAATGCCCAAAGACAAGCCCAGGGAACATAAAAACCAGATGATGCATCAACCCCACAGTCTCCTTGCTGTCTCTTTTTGGCCTCTGTACTTTCCTTGGCCTGAGAACCCTAGACTGAGTCAACCTCTCTAAGGAGTCTCCCCTTCCTGTGCGAGCCCACAGCCAACTCAGGCCTTTAAAGTTCTATAGTTGTTCAGGCGTGAGAGGTTTATAATTCACTACAATGCCTGGCACACAGTAGTTGCTCAATAAATGGTGTTCCTACTACAGTTAGCACTGATGACACGTCCTAATCACATACTCAGTAGATCTTAAACTTAATGGTGTGCTTATCAGCCAGGTGGAGAATTCAAATGTAAATTTTTATTAGGGCCAGAGCAGTAGTTCAGCGGGGAGGTCATTTGTCTTGCATGTGGCTGACTCTGGGTTCGATACCCAGAATGCCATAGGGTCCCTGAGCACCACCAAGAGTAACTCCTGAGTGTAGAGCCGGGAAGAAGCCCTGAGCATTGTTGGGTGTGTCCAAAAACAAAAGTGAATTCTTATTTATTTTTGGTATGAGACAAGTCTCACAATGGAGACGTTACTGGCGCCTGCTCAAGAAAATCAATGAACGATGGGAGGACAACGCTACAGTGCTATGGGACCTGTAGCTCAAAAGCTCTTGCTTCTCGCCAGTGCTCTGGTGTAAGGACCATCCTTCGAACCTAAGGGGTAGTTTTGCTTTGGGGCAACTATTGGTTTTCTGTTTGGTTGGTTTGTGTTTTTTTGAGTCACACCTGAAAGTGCTCAGAGCTTACACCTGGCTCTGTGCTCAGGCATCCCTCCGGCAGGCTTAGGGGACCATCGTGGTGCTGGGGACCAAACCTGGGTCAGCCCTGCGAAGGGCAGGCGACCCCACCCCCCCGCCAGCACCATGAAGTGGAGTTTTTATGTTGTTTTGTTTGTTTGTTTTAGCTTTTTGGTTTACACCTGGCAATGCGCAGGGGTTACTCCTGGCTCTGCACTCAGGAGTTACTCCTGGCGGTACTCAGGGGACCATATGGGATGCTGGGAATCGAACCCGGGTCGGCTGCATGCAAGGAAAATGCCCTACCTCCTGTGCAGTCACTCCAGCCCCGAGGGGGAGTTTTTAATAAACATTTTTAGATGTACTTATCGGATCTATTCTGAACACAAGAAATAGTTTTTAAAAGATTGTTCTTCCAATGTATTTATCTTATCTATTCACCTGGACAATATTTTGTGTCTGTATTCTCTATTTTGCACGGCAGAGCCTGGCAAGCTCCCCGCGGCATATTCGATATGCCAAAAACAGTAACAGTAACGGGTCTCATTCCCCTGACCCTGAAAGAGCCTCCAATCATTAGGAAAGACGAGTAAGGAGAGGCTGCTAAAATCTCAGGGCTGGGATGAATGGAGACATTACTGGCTCCCGCTCGAGTAAATGGGATGACAGTGATACAGTGATTCACCCGGACAAGAAGGGCGCCAGTGGACAGATGTTCTCGGCTCTCCCGGCCGGGGGGGAGGGGGACCCCCCCCCCTCCGGCCCTTTTCGGGGGAGGGGTTGGCAGCCTCTGAGGGCTGAGCTGTCGGCTTGCTCCTGCCCGTGCCGTCCTGGTTCCAGACAAACGCTGTGCCGGGCTGGCATGATCACGGGCAGGAGGCAGGAGCGAGCGGGAAGGAGCCCTCCCTCCCTGAGACAACACACACAACAACAGACCCGGCAAACAGCTGCTCCTCCTCAGTGCCGCCCGTGACATCATTCCAGAGTGTTCTCACCTGCACTCAGATCTTAGGTAAGAGCCTTTGCAGAAAAACATGCATTTTCAGGGCTTGCTTTTATTTTTTTTTAAATACACACTGATAATTATTCAGGCACTACATACGTGATTTCATTTTATTAGTGGAGAAGACGCATGTTTAGATGCATATACCCTTTAGCATACAAATTAAAGATCCCAGGCAACTAAAAACAACAACATTTTTTTTCAAGCAAGAAAGAGAAAAGGGGAGGGGTGTGCCCCAGTTTTCCTATCAGCCTGGTCGGTGCAAAGGACCCAAATGCCATCACCCACCATTACGCTAACAGAAATTCAAAGGATGCTCCCCGTTGCCCCCCTGTGGATTAAAGCCCCACAGATTGAAGCAGCTCTGAGGGTCTGCTGTCTAAACCCTTCTTTGAAACCCCCGTTCACTGAGATTTCTGTGCACATTTTAACCTGGGACCTGAATTCCATAATTCACACTGAGTCCGGGTGAACGTTCCCTGGTGACAGACGATGGTCTCGCTTCCTCTTCACACACCAGGAAAGCAACCCCAAGTGTCCGGGGTACTCACTGCCCACTGCCCAGAGAGCCTGGACTGAGGCCCATCCGCCCGGGAGCGGAAGAGCCCTTGGTACCCTCCGTGCCTGTTGTTGGCAAGCGCCCGCCTCACCGAGGCTTCTCCATCAAGCCACTCAACACTTCAGGGGGGTGAACGCGACAAGTGTCGGGGTATTCGAAGGCCAACTGCCCTTCTCATACCTGCCCTCCCGCCCAGGAACAGATTCCATGGTGCAGCCGCCAGGCCCCAGGCTCGGACGGCGTTTATTAGTTCCATAAATCACTGTGACTGCTTCGGAGAAACCCAGTCAATGGCCAGGAGTCAGCGCACAGAGAGTCGCCCCTGTGACTTGCACCCCAAGTCGAGCGTCCAGGGCTGGGCACTGCCTCTGGCTCCTGCCAGGCCCCCTTTCTGGAGACTCACCTACCTGTGGCTGCCAACGGCACCAGACCAGGGGCTGCGGCCTCGGAGGGGAGATGGGATCAGGCGCCAGCACAGAAAAACAACCCCTGCCCCGCTTCAGGCTAGAGTGACAGCACAGCAGGGAGGGCATTTGCCTTGCACCTGGGTTCGATTCCCAGCATCCCATATGGTCCCCCAAGCACTGCCAGGAATAATTCCTGAGTGCAGAGCCAGGAGGAACCCCTGAGCATCACCAGGTGTGACCCAAAAGGCAAAAAAAAAAAAAAAAATAGAACCCCCCAGCCAATGTCACCCCCACAGCTCCCCTACTTCTCCTGGGCTCCCTCTCCTGCGAAGCTTCTCCTGCTCACACAGGGGGGCCCCCAAATCCCCCCTGGATCTCCGGAATCCCTGCCACGCTTGTCTGGGCTCCTAATTCCCCCGTCCCAGACAGGGCATCCTCACTCCAGCTCTGGGTGCCAACTCCACCTAGACCCTAGGGGAGGCTTGTCACCAGCTGACTGAGGCCCCTGCAGGGACATCCCTGCTGGCAAACGCCTCCCTCGCTCCCTGAGCCTCTGGGCCTCGGGGTAAGGGCACAAGGACAGCAGCCGAGGCCAGAACCTCAGTTCACCAGATGCTTAAATGGGCTCCTGGCGCTGCCAAGGACACCAGCACCTCCCAGCTACTCAGAAGGGGCCACTCAGGAGCCAGCAGGGGGGCCACACACCCACACACACTCCCTCCCTCCTCCACCGGCGTCCAGGGAGAAATGAGAAGGGAGGAAATGCAGACAAACAGCGGAGTCCCCCTGGGAAGCCGCAGCAGCTGCAGCCTGAGGTGAGAGGAAGCACCCATCGGCTTCCTCACGTCCAGGCTACGCACAGCCCCTGCACCCCCCAGACACACCCTCCCCCGGGCCGCACTCTGCACTTGGGGACCACCATCAGCACGGGGACAGACCGGGTGTTGACGCTGCTGCTGCTGGCTCTGAAGCTGCATCCGCTCTCCAAGACGGGGGAGGGGGGCGCCCCCTGCTCATGCTGGCCTCAGGCAGGGCGAGGGAGCCCCCTCAGTGCACGTCCAAACGCCCCAATGGGCCCCTCGAGGAAAGGGTCCCCAGAGCCCAGTCCTGCAGCAAAAGCCCCCAGCGCGGTCTTCCCGACATCCCTCACTGTCCCTGCAGCCGACGGGTGTCCCTCCCCAACAGGTGACCCTGCACCCCACTCCCAGCCCCACCCGTCTCGGACCCCAGCACCTGGGCGCAAGGCGTCTGCGCTGAGACACCCACTGCCCACTGCCCTTTCCAGGTTTCCAGGAGGCTGGTGACCCGGCCCCATCCCCCTCCTCGGGGGACACCTCGTCCCCTCCACGGTGGTGCCTGGTCATGCTCCAGGGAGCTGCCCCGTCTCCCTCCCCGGTGTCGCCCCCATCACCCAGGGGTGCCCTGTCTCCTGGAGGGTGCCCATCCCCCTCCCCAGGGAATCCCCGTCCAGGTGTTGCCCCTCCTGTCGCCGTGTCCCCCTCCCTGGGGCTCCCGTCCCATGAGCTCCCTCCCCCAGCCCCCATCCCTCTCCCCAGGGTGGTCCCCGTCCCCGTCCCCCTCTCCCTCCCCAGTGTCACCCCGTCTGAGTCCTGGTGTCGTCCCCTCCCCCTGTCTCCCGTCCCCATCCCTGTGTCACCCTGTCTCCTCCCCAGATCGACCCCTCCCCGCGTCGCCCAACTCCCTGCCTGGTGTCACCGCGGTGTCGCCCGTCCCCTCCCCGTGTCGCCCGTCCCCCTGCCCGGTGTCCCCCTCCCCGTGCCGCCCGTCCCCCTGCCCGGGGTCCCCCTCCCCGTGCCGCCCGTCCCCCTGCCCGGGGTCCCCCTCCCCGTGCCGCCCGTCCCCCTGCCCGGTGTCCCCCTCCCCGTGCCGCCCGTCCCCCTGCCCGGTGTCCCCGTCCCCCCGCGGGGTCCCCCTCCCCGGGTCCCCCTCCCGGCCCCTACCAGTCGGTGTGCGGCTCGTCCACCACCAGCAGCAGCTTGGCCCTGCGCGAGGCGGGCGCGGGCGCGTCCACCAGGCCGGCCGAGGCTGCCGTCTGCTTCACGGCCTGGGACAGCGAGCTGAAGAAGCTGCTGCCCACCGACGGCGCGGGCTGCGGCGCCGACCCCCAGCCCTGGGCGGGCGGCCGGCGCTCGGGGCTGGGCGACGCGGCGGGGGAGGCGGCGGCGGCGGGCCCGGGGGGCGGCGGCTGCTGGGGCTCGGGCCGCTGCAGGTCGGTCATGTAGCCATTGGGCAGGTTGGCGATGAAGCTGCTGTCCGACAGCCGGCGCCGCAGGAAGTTCATCATGGGGCTCGGGGGCCCGGGGTCCGGGCGGCGGCGCGGGCGGCGGCGGCGGCGGCGGCGGCGGCGCGGAGCGCGGCCCGAGCCCACTGGCAGCCGCGGCGGACTGGGCCGGGCGGGCCGGCGCGGGGCTCGGAGGCGGCGGGGGGCGGGGCCTGGGGCGGGGGCGGGGCCAGGACGCGGAGGGGGCGGGGACTGGGCGGGTGGGGCGGGGCCGGGACTGGCGGGGCGGGGCCTGAGGCGGGGAAAGGGCGGGGCCGGGGCTTGTAGGCGCGCGGCCGGGGCTGGTGGGGGCGGGGCCTCGGCTTTGGGGGCGGGGAGGGGGCTGGTCAAGGGGCGTGTCATCCTCTGGCCACGCCCCTCTCTGCAGCGCAGGCCCCGCCCCTGCCCGGCCGCCCGCGCCCCCGGCCCCGAGACGCGCGTCTCCCGGGGCCGGGGCGGGGCGAGCGGCCGCGTCTGGCCGCCCCAGGTGCGGGGCTGGGGGTGCGCGCGAGAGCCAGGGCTGCTCCCCGAGAATGAGGAGAAGCGGATGGAGAGCCCCTCCCGCCCTCGGGAGAGGTTAGGGGCCGCTCGCCCGTGGGTGAGCCGCGGGGTGCCGATCCGTCCACCCCCACGCGCGGGGTACGCACGCGCGCACGCCCGCCGCAGCGAGGGATGCGCCCCCGCCAAGGCTCGTGGAGGGGCAACGCCGCAGCCCCCGGGGCGAGGAAGGAGAGAGCGGCGCGCACTTGGTCCTCCCGTCCCTGCCGGCCGCTGCCCCCTCTCAGCAGCTGTGGGGGCACTCACCGCCCAGCACTGTGCCTCCTCCCAGGGGACCCCGCGTGCGAGGCCGGGGGGCTCTGCAGGACCCCCTCCTGGCGCGCCCCCGGGCTGGCCTGTCTGGTGTCCCTGCAGCCTCCCTGCGCCACCAGCAAGCCCGTCTCGCCCAAATCTCGCTGTGCATTTGTTTTTCGCTCAGCCTTTCACTGGCCAGGGGGTCCACCTCCATGAGCTGGCTCTGGTTACCACCCTGCCTGTGTCCATCCCCCCGCGGGGCCAGTGCACTCTCCTCTCCTCTCCGGAGGTAATCTGGGGGTGAATTGGAGCAGGACTGACCCCCGCTGGGGGAACTTTGCCCTGAGAGGTTCCTTCCTCACCTGAGGAAAGGACATAAGTAAGTGTCTGCGCAGCTGCTGTGCTTGGTCAGTGGGCACCTGGGCAGCCCAGGGAACGCTAGTAGTGGTGCCTATTCCAACGGCTTCCCAGCAAGCCCTGGTTGGGCTGAATGGAAGCCGGGAGTGGCTCCGCCGCTAATATTGGCAGCAGCTCCTGCTTCCTACAACCCAGCTGGCACTCCAGTTGGGACCTGGAGATGCGAATCCCGGCTCCCAGCCAGAGAAGCAGAGACGTCCACGCTTCCCTCCAGCCCCTGCCAGGAAGTGGGAAGAGCTGCCTGGGGGGCGGGGGAGCGCCCCCCATCTGGAAACCACTCATCCCCTCAGGGGACCAGACATAGGAACCGGATGAGGGGGAAAGAGCTCCAAGCAAGGTGGTTTTCAGTGAACCACCTGGGCATCATGGAGGGCCTCTTAGAGGAGGTGGTATTGCAGATGAGTCTGGAGGCAGCTCACGCTCAGCTTTTACTAGGTCTGAAGCAGAACAGCCAGGAGCAAAGCAGATGAATCTCCCAGAAAACCCTCACTTAATTGTCTGGCATGCCCAAGTGTTCCGTTGCCTGGCTGTGGCTTTGTTATAGCCCCTGAAGAGATAGCAATCAAATATTCTGATGACAGTGTAAGCTTTGCTGGGCCTGAGCGGGAAGGGCCTTTGCCTTGCACATGGTCGACCTGGGCATCCCATATGTCCCTTAAGCATCACCAGCAGTGATTCCTGAGCACGGGAGTTACCAGGAGTTACCAGTTACCAGGAGGAACCTCTGAGCATTGCTGGGTGTGACCCAAAAAGCCAAAAATAAATTTCTACATTGGGGGCCAGAGTAACAGTACAGCTGGTAGGACACTTGCCTTGCACATGACCAAGCTGGGTTCGATCCCCAGTATCCCATAGGGTCCCCCGAGAACAGAGCCAGGAATAACCCCTCAGCATCACCTGTACGCCCCCCCCCAAAAAAAAAGAGGATGTAAGCTTTCTGAAAAGACTGCTTTGGACTGGACAGTAGAGGTGTTAGGGCGCATGCCATATATGCTGCTGACCCGGATTCGATTCCCAGCACCACATGGGTCCCCCAAGCATAGCTGGGTATGAAGGGCCCTGAGCTGGGATGTCCCTAGGAATCCCTAGCACCACACCTCAGCAACACAACACCCTCCATCATTGGAACCCTCAACACTAAGTATAATACCCGACAAATAGTAAGGAATCAGCTTCTAGAACATAGAACGAGGCTCACCCCACTCCGATCCTGTGACTATCTAGAAATTGAACTGTCTTTAGGGCCAGAGAGATAATACAGAGCTAAAGCACTTGCACATAGCCAACCTCGGTTCCATGCCTGCCACTGTCTACAGTTCCCTGAGAACCACCAGAAGTGATCCCTGAGCATAGAGCCACGAGTAAGCAGCACAGTCAAGTGGAACCCCAAAATCAAAATTAATTTGTTCATGTTTATTACTGTCACTGATAATTAAACTTAATTGAACATGTTGTCTTTCCTTTAAGTTTTGTGGGTTTTTTTAAGCAAATCTGGTATTTTCATAGGGATAAATGCTTAATGACAGGATATTAATTGAACAGCATCACTTCAAAGAAATTTTAATGATTGGTTTATTGCTTTTTAATATTTTACTGAGTTCCTCTCACCAGTAAGCTTTTAGTGTGTGCGTACAGTATTCTTTTCCTATTGGTTTGATGTGGTTTAGTTGGGCTGGAGCGATAGCACAGTGGGTAGAGCGTTTGCCTAGTACATGGCCGACCTGGGTTCGATTTCTCCATCCCTCTCAGAGAGCCCGGCAAGCTCCCGAGAGTATCTCGCCTGCATGGCAGAGCCTGCCAAGCTACCCATGACGTATTTGATATGCCAAAACCAGTAACAAGTCTCACAATGGAGACATTACTGGTGCCCACTTGAGCAAATTGATGTACAATGGAACGGCAGTGCTACAGTGCTGAGTTTGGGGTCCACACCCAGAAGCACAACAAACCCAGGGTTTATCCAAACTGTGCTCAGGCCCATGAGTTATCCCCCCAGCCTTGTGCTCTGTCTAAACATTGTATCACTTGTCATCCTGTTGATCTTCAATTTGCTCAGGTGGGCACCACTAATGTCTCCATTCGTCCCTGTTGCGTGCTAGTGTAGCCCAATAGCATCTGCTCACGCCAGGAACATGAAGAGCCTCAAACCATTTGTTCAGGGTTTCGACAAAGAAGTCTGACAATCTCGTAGGTGGGCAGCCATGCGTCCTTTTGACGTCCCGTGGAATTCAGTCAGTAACAGCTCTAGTCCAGCGGTCATCTCTAAATCATATTACGTGTCCGGCCCATCTGATTTCTGACGACCTTGACAAACGACCTTGACAAACAGTGTCCCTGATTCTTGATCGTTGGAACTCCAGATTTCTTCTCTCACTTGAGTGAAATGTGATACTCCAAGTATCCCTCTTTGGGATACCCAAATAGCGTTCTCGTCCCGTTTTTGTAGAGCCCAGGTCTCTGAGGCACATGTTAGTGCAGGAAGAATGGAGTCGAAGAGATGTGCCAGAAGCCAGAGGTTCTTTGTCTTCTTAACCACTTCTTCAACGCTCTTGAAGGCGTTCCACGTCACTGTCTTCCTTCTGTGCAGTTCTGGCATCAAGTCATTCCTCATGTTGAGTTCTCGACCCAGGTACACATAGCTGCTGCATTTGAAGATGTTCATTCTGTTGAGAGCAAATGGAACGTCAGGGACTAGTTAGTTTTTCATGAACATTGTCTTGGTGAGATTCAGCTGCAGTCCGATCTTTCCACACTCACAGTCAAAGTCGGCCGGCATTTGTGCTGCATGGCTAATGTTTGGTGTTATTAGGATGATGTCATCAGTGAAGAGAAAGTGGGGTAATTGCTGACTGTCTATCTTCACTCCCATTTCTTCCCATTCCAGTTGTTGCATGACATTCTTGGGGGTGGCACTGAAGAGTTTCAGTGAAATGGTATCACCCTGACGAACCCCTCTCTTTATGTCGATGATCACTTCCTTGTAGAATGGTGAGATCCTGATGGTGAATCCATAATACAGCTCGACGAGGATCCTGATGTACTAAGTTTGAACACCCTATTTGGCTAGGGTTTAGATGACCGCTTCAGGCTCAACAGAATCAAAGGCCTTCTTTAAATCAATGAACGTTAGACAGAGTGGCATCTTGAACTCTCGAGAAACCTCAATGAGCTGGTCACCATGTGGATATGGTCGATCGTGGGTTCAAGTATGGTATGAACCATGGGAACACCTGTAAAGGCGATTAGAGGCCGCCCTAAAAGCCTCCATCCTTCTCGGAGAGCCCAGCAAGTTACCGAGAGTATCTCGCCCACACAGCAGAGCTGGCAAGCTCCCCATGGCGTATTCGATATGCCAAAAACAGTAACAACAATGGGCCTCATTCCCCTGACCCTGAAAGAGCCCCCAATACAGCAGCATTAAGAAGGATGTCTAAACATTAAAAGAAAATATTCAACCAGCAAACAAACACATTTCGAGTACAAGGCTGTATTTCGGCACTGGAACACAGAGGAGATCGCAGAATGGAGACAAGCCAGGTTCTGCCTTGAAGAAGACAGCTCATAAAAATACACAGCCCCTTTCCTCTCCTTATGCTGAATGGAATTTGGTCTGATTTAAGTATGGCTGTCTCCGCTTATTTTTGTCTTCCATTGGCTTGTAGAATTGCTTTCCATCTTCTCGCTCTAAGTTGTTTTTATCCTGTGTGTTTATGTGTGTTTCCTGCAGGCAGCAAATGGATGAGTTTTCATTCCTGATCAGGGCAACAATGACTCCATGCCTTTTCTCAGGGGAGTTTAGTCCACTGACATTCAGGGAGCTTATTGACATAAAAGACTGTGTTGCCGTGTGTGTGTGTGTGTGTGTGTGTGTGAGAGAGAGAGAGAGAGAGAGAGAGAGAGAGAC